TCACGTTGAGACACTTACAGGTCAGAGTGTGTTGAGGCTCATGTGTGTTTGCTTTTAAGTTTACTGTAGTGTTATCAGGGCTTTTCTATTGTTCTGATCAAAGCGCTTCATCCCCCATTGACACCCATTCATACGCTGATGGCAGGGGAGACAACTCAAGGGGCCAAATGCACATATTGAGCCGTCAAGAAAGTGCAACTAGTTGAAGGAAACTGTACCAATTTGCCACTGTAAATATTCGTGTTTTACTGCTGTTCATCCAAAAACCAGAAGCAGAATTTTTAAATGGATGGACGAATTAAAAACTGAAAATCAACCAAAGTCACTGTGGGCATAGTTTTTTGTGAAATGGTGCCTTTTAAAGATCAGGATGAACGTGCGCTCAGTGGGCCCGAGGTTAGGTATTTATTATGATCTTTACGAGGCACCTTGGCAGCTGTTTATGTCAAAGAGCTTCAGGTAGGATTCCTTTTATGTCCCAATGCAGCTGTGTAATTAGATTTAAACTGATCTACTGAACATCTTTTTCCAAACCCGCTGTTGTCAAATATGACAAATATTAGTACCCAGTGGTCAGTGACTCCGTGACTTCTGCCCATATCTGATATGATACTTTCCAATTCATTTTTGTCAATTTAGCTATAAATATAATCACATCTAATTGGAAAGAAACATCAAACCCATATTGGAATTATCACAATTTTATACTGTATCATCAGTATCATCATGGCCAAGTGGCAGATGGATGCTTTTCAAAATGAACACAAGCACTGGGCAATTCATGGCAATTGTGTGGCACTTGACCGAGACGCACTCATCAAAATGAAAAAAGGATGAAGTTCAGCACAAAAGGGAACGTAACACAAAGGACGACACCAGCGTAGGTAATACACAACAGACAAACCAACACCGAGACGGGGACACACGCCTTTGGTGATCGCACCCAGGAGGATGCAGTCAGGCAGACACACACACAGATGGCAGGAAGTGACACAGGACACAATGGGGACACCTAAAATAAAACAAAGCTATAAGCTCCACACTGTGACATCAACTCAAGTTATGTTTATTATCAAGTAACATGTTCAAACAAAACTCTAATTCATCCCACTTTAACAGGCTGGGACGATCCCTGAGAGATGCTCTGTGCTGTAGTTGACCATTTGGACCTGAACATGGAAAGACATCACTGGGTTAAATGTTTCATGTTGCCATTACGATCATATAAGAAAATGAATGACGCATAATAAATATTGCTGTTGACACCCCTGGCTTTATTTGGTTCATAATGAAACAACCCTATTTCTGCAGTGAGAGTCTTCAGTTTCTTTTACGTATGGACATCCTGACGACTTTATACCAGCCAGTATTTATTCTAATAGTTTAGATTTCACAGCCTACAAACCATACTTGGACAGTGGATTCACCGCTGGAGTTTGTGTGACCCTGGGAGCTGTGTTGTCTTTGCTCCTGGCGGGGTCCGCTGTCTCTGGCTCCTCCCCTGGGAAGACGTTACAAGTGTAAGGGCCAAAACAGAATTACCACTTATGAGGCAGAGAAACTGTTTATTCCCCAGTAGAATTTGGTTTTGTTGGCTTCTTCAAAGATGACTGTGAGGATTTCATCCAGATGTGGATGTGGTTAACATGACAGTCAGTACTGAGGCCATGGTTCTCTGCCAGAAAAGGGTGGTTTGAGTGATTCACTGCTCCAAGTCAAGTTTTGGGGTTTGAGAATTTTGGAGCACTGTTCAGAAGTGAAGGAAATGGAGTTTGAGATGTGATTGGATTAAGAGGTGAACTGGCCAGCAAAGCTCCCACTCTACCTATACTATGAGCTTTGGGTTACGATTCAAATACAAGCATCCACAACATGATGGGTGGCTGGGCTCAGCCGTAAAGACAGCATGTGGAACACACTCATCAGGTGGAGGTTTCTATAAAGTTTTGCAATAGAGGTGTGGTTCACGTGGGTTAATATCTCACAAGAGTGCAGCCGGTGTGCAAATGAAGTGACATTTGGCTTTATAGCCAATACGGAGTCTAAATGAACCAAAAGCTGTTCCTTGTTGTCATTGGGTGTGTATCAGGGGTCAGCTCATAACAGCATGCAGGCTGTGCGTTCTGGGTCCCTTTGTTATATTATTATCCACATGGAAAAAACACAGTTTAGACATTTGAGTCAAAATGTACTTGTTAAAACCTGTTAGAAGCTTGCTCATAAGCTGCAGAGTAGTCTATAACCTATCATGTTCTACAGCTAATATGTCCCTTCATGTATCATATTCCAACATGTCTATGAGCCTTTCTATCTTAAATACTCGGCTCTGTGGTGCCGGAATTCTTTGCCCCCAACAAATCACTGCAGACATCAGGCACTGTACAAGAAGATTCCTTCAGGCGAGTCGCAGCACGAGCAAACCCACACATGCACACAACGTTGCAGTCACCCTCACACATGTTTACACACAGACATGCACCGTCTGGAACTATCGAGCATATCACAGGAAGAGGGGCAATTAAGCGGCCCCAGAAAGAGAGAGCGAGGAGTCCAGCCCATGTGACTAAATTCCCACAGCAACCTTCTGTGACTGTGGGGCCGGGGGCTCTCATTAGCCCCTTGGGTCTGACCCAGGGAGGATTAATGCCACAGTAGCTCTCATGTTCTGCACCGGGCTGGTATGTGTCCGTGTGTTTGTGTGTATGTGTGTCCTACAGTTGAGGTTTAGCTGGCTAACTGAATGAAAAACCCCTCTGACTCCCCCAGATGTGATGGAAAGCGGCTCTAAATGTAGTTGTTGGAAGAGGTTGAAATACAGTTACTAGGAATTAAATCACTTTGATGAGTGATATTGGCTATAAGTATGACCTTAACAATAGAGACACTGAAACAGTGACATATATTCAATAATAGATTAATAAAAGTGTCTCTAATGTAAAGGTGAAGTATTAGTGATCCATTATAAAACTATGAGTTTCTGATCAATCCTGTATCTGATGCTTGCTTTATACTGATCACCACAACCGACTGACTAAAATGAACATGAACTCACATCAACCCTTTGATTGAAATAAGCACTGTGCAGAGTGGCACACAGTTATACTCTACAGCACTTGACTAGAGGGATCTGGTTTCAATGATCCTTGGGGCGGTTTGCCTCAGGTATGACTGTGGTTGTCTGTCCCTCTGAGGCACCCTTGTGGTATCCCGTTGTACCCTGTGGTAGCCAGTGGTACCCTGTGTCAGTCTGTGATAGCCTGTCATACTTTGTGGTACCCTGTGGTAGCCTGTGGTAGCTTCTGGATAAGGATCAGCGGTTGCGGGTAACAGATGGATGAATATGCAATAATAGTCTGTCTGAATGTTGAGGTTATTCTTGTACATTGACGTTTTCAAATCCTCTCAACATACACATTTGACTGCAGTTTAATGGACTGTATACTCTTTGCCCCAAATATTGGTCCATTGATCTTGATGATGACCAGTTGATAGTCTAGCTAGCTCCCAGAAACTGCTGCAGCGCCAAACAAAACTCGCAACCGGTACTATTTGCACAAGTAGGAGATAAAAACATCTGTTTGGGGGACAGACCATACCTAAATCAAATATACATATTGTTATACTTCTGTTTCTACCTTCCCAACTGGAAGATCTACCTTCCTAACTCTACTTGTCTCTCGGTCCCTGTCCCTACCTGTAAATGGTAAGTACCTACATAGTGCTTTTCTAGTCTTCCACTTAAAGCACGTTAACACTTCATGTCATCATTCACCATCACACACTGACGGCAGGAGCCACCATACAGTGCCCATTTCTTCCCGTTAGTCACTAACATTCACACACTGTACTCATAGCTGGACCTAAGTGTCTTTCACGAGGACACATCGGCGCGCCGGTTAGCCGGGCTTGGGATCGAACCCAATTGGAGGACGACCGTGGTGCCGACTCGCCCACAGTCGCTCAGTCTGTCGTCCGTCTGTGTCTCCACCAAGCAACCTTCAAGCTGCCTGGCTATCTACGTGCTCGTGCTAAGCTAATGCTGCTATCTACTTAGATTGGGTTTTTCTGTTGAACACATTTTAAAATATACTGTAACCATATCAGTTTTTCAAGATTATAAATCCTATGTCTTTCATCTCTGAAAAGAACTTCCATAACTTTAAAACTACCATCAAAAACAAGTATATTTATTGTATAAATAGTAGATCTAACGTTTGTACAGATTTTCCTTCCTTCAAACAAGAAAAAAACAATGAAATGTATTGAAAAATGAAGAGAAATAACAAATAAACATCCATCTGACATTTAATTTAGCACAGTTTACGACTAGGGAGACAAGTATAAATACGCAATCTGGCTATTTTCAAAGTTTGTTGTGGAAAATTGTTTTTATAACATGTGTGATATTAACATATTGATGTAGATAAGGGACACCAGTCAAAGAACAGTTACCGTCTTCATCCAATGACAGCTGAAGGCCTTGATTTGAGTCACATATTTAGTCAGTGCATTTACCCAGCGACTTCTACTTCAGATTGAAATGTAATAGTAATGTTGTGTTAGGTCTACTATGAAGAATATCAACGTATTCTTGTATTCTTGTTCTACATTGCTATTGCTAACACATTTTCTGTAAAGTTTCAGATCTTGTGAAGTAAAAAGTAATCCCTTATTTGTCTTATTATTTAAATACAGTAGCATGTGTTTCTGTATGAAATAACCGCATGTTCTATATTATACATGCATTGTAACTTAGGAGGTCTCTAAGTTGCCCAGGTGTGAAAGTGGGAGGAGCCACCAGCTGTTACTTTCATTCCGATACCAGCTTCACAGCGGGGAGCATCCTAAATGAAGTGCGGATCGATATGTACGGAGAGAACTTCTCTGTCCATGTGCCTGGAGGGGGGGGGGGACAAGGGACCGCTTGTTTCCAGGTGTTCCATGGAGCTCCGCCCACCAGCCGTCCGTCCTCCGCCCCCCGTCACCACGGGTCCGCTCTGAGGTGGGGGCACAGACTCGGGACAGCACGCGGAGGGAATAGCAGCCCAGTCGGCCCCTGCTCTCCGGACGAACCCGAGCTGTTCTTCACACTTCGGCCCGGTGCGCGATGTCGGAACTCTCCGTCAGTGACCACCTGGAGGGGATCTTATCCGACTTTGAAGGTACGTTGGCTGTGATGGTGGATGGGTCTACTGGTGCGCTCTCACGCGGCTGTCAGCCTCCAAATGACGCACAACATGCGCCCAGCGTGCGCGCAGAGCAGCGCGGACGCTCTGTGCGGAACCAGTGCGCTGCTTCGGATCGGGGTTGGTTAATACCGGAGCTGATCCACACAAACCAGTGGCGAGAATTTGCGTCTTTGTTGGCCTCCAGTACCAGGGGGGGGGGTCGCTCATTTGCACACGTCACCCCGGACAAGATCTTAACCCATTTCACTGAAGGTTAATGTAACTCAGTTGATTAAAACCGCCTCGCTGTGCGCGTGATCCATAGTGTGTGCATGTGTCCTCCTGTGAGGGACACTTCCAGTATGAATACCAGCAGGCAGATACAGAGCAGCACTAATAGCATAGTGCCCCTCTGCGCGTGCGTGTGCGCGTGTGTGTGGGAGAGAAGCTGTGCATTCTGCGCCATTAGTCTCTGTTTAGGCTCATTACACACTTCATTGTCCTAAATCAAGTGTATATTCAACATTCTAGTAACGCTTGAATACTAAATACTAAAATTGACCTTACCCACAAAAGAAAATCATCAACAAGGATTCAGAAAGACTTCCAAACCCTTTTCAATAAGTACGTATGGACATGTTGGCAGCTGAAGTGCTTTTGTCCCGGTCTGCAGCCCATAGCAAGCTTTGGACATCCTGTTATCTTCATCCAAACGTCCACTTGTTGCATGTTCACTCGTCAGAATCAATAACATCATCTCGACTGTTTAAATAGTGATTAACACGTGAACTGGTGACCTAACACAACTTTGTGAACAGAACCGTAGACAGCCAGCAGCTGTTCTTATAAAGTATGGAACAGAACCGTGCGGCTCGGCTGTGGAGGTTCTATTTGGTTACATAAGGTGCGTTGGTGATGATCGGACTGTCATGTGATCAACCTTTGCTAAGCATAGCTGTCTATACCCTACGTGGATCTTCAGAGTGAGACCATGAGCAGACCCAGTTCTTCTTCACGGCGATCCGACATGTCTTGGGATCTTGAAGGATCCTTTCAACAGCCCCTCTGCTTTCAGTCTTACCTTCCACATTCTTCTGCTTAGAGAAGTGGCTACACAAATTAGTGTAGCCTTTGGCTGTTGCTGCATTTTCAACTGCAGCTTTAACTGTTGTCTATTTGACACTTACACCACTCACAGTCAGGGCATTAACTCTTAAAAATGCAAAGTAGCTTAAGAAATTTGAGTAATGCTGCGTTCACACCAAACCGGAATGTTTTGCATGCCTCAAACGCCCAAAAATTCTGGTCAATTGAATCATGATGAATTGCAATGAAGAATTGCGTCATTCGCGCAAGATGCGACAAAGAGGGGGCGTGGCTTATCAACATGAAAACAGTTCAATTTGTACCGTATGTTTTCCTCTGCAACAATGATAGAAGACAACAACGCTCACTGTATTTAAGAAGATCCTGGCGGTATACCAGTATATCATCAGTATATATTGTTTATATGTCACACACTGTTGTGTCGTAGTGTTTTACCATTTAAAGAGTGTTTGTTGTAGTTTATTAATTGTTGACTCAATCTCAATATACGCAATACAGGCAATACACCCGTATGACAGTACGTAACAAATGATACCGTGAGGAAATATGATACCGGTATACCGCTCGGCCCTTTGATGTACCTGGAAGTCCTACTCACGTCCGACCACCAAACGATGGCGTGCTTGGGTACTAAGTAGCACGCGTAGGCAGAGACACTGCGTCTGGATGACTGAGGCTAACCGTTACCGTCCCGTGGCAAGACACCGTGTGCTCAAGCACATTTTAAGAGCCACCCATACGTTATTATTGAGCATACTTCCTGCAACGTTACTTAATATTGGGTAGCAGTGTGTCGATAAACAATAGAGTTAACCTACAGTATAATGTGCTATATTCAGTGCAGTGATGGCATGTTGTAAAAAGGCACATATGGTTGTGTCCTGTTTGTTAAAAGTGCAAGGTCTTTCCTGGATCGGTCGCAATGTAGGTTTCGAGGATGTACAAGGGCTATCTAAGGGCTGGTCCTGGCTAACTTGAGCCAGCCCTAACTATAAGCATTATTAAAGAGGAAAGTCTTCAGCTTTCTCTTACATGAGCTGACTGTCTGCCCCCCAGACTGAAAGTAAAAGCTGGTTCCACAAAAGAGGAGCTTGATAACTGAAGGCTCTGGCCCCCAGCCTACTTTTTAAAACCATAGGAACAACAAGTAACCAGCATCTATGGAGCACAGCTCTCTAGTAGTACAATATGGTATTATAAACTCTCATAAAAAGACGGTGCCTCACCAGCAAGTGCCTTGTAGGTGAGGAGAAGCACATTAAATTCTATTGTTGATTTAACAGGGAGCCAGTGCAGAGTTAATTAATACAGGAGTAATATGATCCCTTCTCTTCTCGTTAATGCATTTGGCATTTTGGCATCAGTCCGACTTTCCCATAGAGGTTAGGGCCAACCTTGTGCTAGACAGCAGCGGGAGAGAAGGCACAGGAAGGCGTGTACTAATTTGGAGGGAGAGTCAGGAGGGCGCCTAGGCCTTTGGGTGGTATGGGAGATTAGATGAGGTCAAGGGGGCTAATAGCTGCCCCTCCCTGCCCTGTCACATCCTGGTACTACGGTCCAGCTGGGCGCGAACCCTGCAGAGATCAGAGGGGTCCCATGACTTACTGACCCAGTGAACTCGCATGCGCACACACACACACACACACACACACACACACACACACACACACACACACACACACACACACAGTTGTGTCTTTACTCATGAAAAGTTGTAAATTCCAACCTGCATTAAAGCACTGGAGCATACAGCTGATCAGAAACAACAGTTAGTCAGAGATTTGTGTAGACAACGATTATCAATTACATTTATATATATATATATATATATATATATATATATATATATATGAGAGAGAGAGAGAGAGAGAGAGAGAGATTGAATCAGCCAAAATTGATTTAGGCTGATTCTGATTTTATTTATTGTTTTTTTCTTTGGACCAGCCAATCCACAACTTCAGAGCTATAACGGGCAGCAAGGCTTAAGACTAACTTTATTTTTTACCACCGCCACTAAAGCATTCCAGAAATGATTCAGTCAGTGTGAACTGCCAACAATGCTTTATTGTCATTTATTGCAATTATTCTTTTATAATATCTATTTTATATTCTTTGTAAGAACAAGTTTCTCACTAAAAAGTACATCAAATCTGAACACAAAATCCTAATTTACTTTCATAGAAAATCCATTCTTACTGAGCATGACACATCTGGATGTGCAGCTGTGTGTGGACATACACTTGAGCCTGACTGTGGGTAAATGTGAGAAAAAATCATTTACATCTCATCATGAGCCGTTGGCAAATAACTAATTCAGAATACATGTGGGTTGAAAAACACATTAACAGACACACACACACTTTTTGACTGATCTCATTAACAATTTTTTGACCTAAACGCGATCAGCAACACACACACACGCACACACACCGCTCAACATTCGTCCATATTAAATCCAAATGTGGCATCACAGCTGGCTCTTAAATGGTGCGTTAAAATGCAGTGTGGTTCCTCGAAGGACCATCTCCTACTCTGGTTTCACATGTTTGTTGTATTTTTTGAGGAATTGTTATGGGGTTCTTAATCCATGTTTGAGTTATTGCGTGGTGTGGTAGGGTATAGTCAGCTGCTAGCTAATGTCTTGGCGGTTGGTGCGTGACAGTAGGATAAAGGAAGCAGCCATCATCGGCGCCATCTTGGATTGGATAGCTTCCTGTGTTAACAGTGACAGTGTTTTTACATTCACCTGGAAATGTCCAGCGACTTTTAAGTTCTTGTTTGGGTTTAAGAAAAGATCATAGTTAAGGTAGAAACAAGTGTGCTTATTTTGCAATATAATTGTTGCCTAAGTTACATAGGAGCTACGAAGTGTAGACTTTTAGTTTTAAGTTAACACTTACAGTGGTGTACAAGGTAAATATCCTTTCGCAGTTTGTCCGTCCTCCACGTGCAGACTCTTGCTCTCCCTATGATGGCACCTGACTACCTTAGATGTAGCCCTGCAAGTTCTGCCTCACAATTGTAGGTGTTATGTGTGTGCAGTATGTGACATCTCCCAGGAGTTTCCTCCCCGGAGATGCTCTGCCAGGCTTCCACTGCAGCCTCCTTTGTATTTCTGCTTGTTTGTGGCTCTTTCTGCCTACAACTGTATCCTAAGTAAGTGAAAAACATGTTCAGCAGGATTGAGTTCAGCAATGAAGAATGTTCCATTTTTGCCTTGGAAGCCCTATAGTTGTTTTTGCAGAATGTTTTGGGTCATTATCCATCTGCACTGTCAAGTGCCGTCCAATCAGCTTCGTAGCATTAGCTGTATCTAGGCAGACAGTACAGCCTTAAACACCTCAGAGTTGATCTATCAGCTGTGGCATCATCAGTGAACACCAGTGTGACAGATGTTTGACAGATGAGCTGTTCATTCTGGTTCTATGAAGGCACTTCTGGGTTGGACACTTTAACATGACACACCTTGCTCTGAAGGGATCTTTCTTCACCAAGAAAATAATTCCTCCATCATCCACTTTAGATGTGGTCTTCTGGGGCTTTTGGGGTTGCTGAGCATTCCAGGACATTCCTTCGTTATAAGAATGTACCAAACAGTAGATCGGACCAAACAGACCAAGTAAAAGCACTGGACTCGGTACCAGGCAGTACATTGGCCTGTAGCCCCAGTGCTGTGCTTTGGAAAGGTACAACGCTGTCAGTACAACTCAGGACACACTTTGCCTTTAATAGACTCAAGCTACTAATATTTTTCAGGCAACAGGTGCTTATGAGGCAAATAGTATCCAGATAACTCTCCTGCTGTTCGTGTGTGTCCTCAGGCGATGTGTGCGTTTCAGTGTTAAGGGATTGCTTGTGGCTTCTGGAATGTGTCTTCCAGATGTGCT